ATTACCACTATTCATCATTATCAACATTATCCTCACCAATGTTACCATCATTAATAATAATCATTAACTATATTCTCACATGTAACGTAAGACTTCTTTATACCTTGCAATAGAGGCTGACCACCAACAATGGTGATTTTGAATTTTAACAAATTTTATTTTTGGACCCCTGGAAAAATGGAAATTTCATAAAAATAGAAATTTTATATTTATTTTTTTTACATCCTCCGCTCCCCTGAAATCTCCAAAAATAAGATATATATATATATTTTAATTATATAAATATAATTACTACCACCATAACCATCATCTCCACATTATTATCATCACTGATGATAACAAAATAATAATGATAAATAATATTATAATTACTCATTATTATTTATGGAATCATGTTTTCCATGAATTTAAAATAATTATAATAATTTGTTAGTATTTATATATCATTCTACAATTACCATAACGCAAAATAAAAAAAATCTTAGTTTATCCCCATTCTATGGTACTGAACAAAAAAAAATTTGGAAAAAAAAAATGTTTAATAATAAATAGTTTATAGTAGATATTGTCTGTATTATCTCAAAAATAAAACAACCCAATAATGATATTTGGCTTCAGAAAAAAAATTCCTCCCTCCCTAATCACTTTTCTAGCCTAGACATGGTGATAAAACTAATATTGTTTTGGGCCTAGTCTATTACTACTACACATTATTAGCCAGTGATTGGAACAATGCTTTTGGAACATTGTACATACTCAGCTCCCTTGGGGCATATTCCATAATTCACTGCATGGAAATTATACCAGCGCATTGGCACTTGAATCGCCTACTGGATGTACCACTTGTACTTCTTGATAGAGAGAGATAACATGGGTAACATACTCTTGCCCTAGAACACAAGCAAATTGCATTGCAAAGGTTTTGAACCTCCAACCTCAACCGTTGCACCAACCAAAAAAAAAACACTTGGCAAGCATCTGTACTATGAAAACATAAATAAAATCCTCCAGTAAGAAATTCCATTCTAATCAATAATTACTATAGAAATAATATCAACATTCTATTGTAGTCAACATGGATAATTATAATTCAAATAAATGTTCTATAATTGCAAATAAATAGATGCTGATATGATGTTTGATATGGTTAAGTATCTACTTCAAAAATTAAGTAAATTTATGAGTCATTATAAGTGTAACACACAATGTTTATGTCACTGTATGTTAATTACCAGTTCATAATTTCAGCCAATTAATGAACAGTAGCCAAATGACATGGAAACTAACATGTTTTCGTATCTCCTCTAATTAGAAATTACGTCGTCCATTTGTGTACTTGAGCAAGAAATTAGGCGACTGTCCATATCGGATTTGAGCATGCAATGAGCTCTGCGTTAGCAAATTATTGATTTATCCACGAAGATTCCATACAATAAGATCATTTGAATACTTGGTCTTTTCGTCCTGCACGCATATTACAGCAATTAGGCAGCGGCCTCTCGATGAGTAAGAAAAGCTTGCTTGTCTGACAATATCTGTGGCTGCTTATCCAAATGGGGAGTGGCCTTTAGAACAATCAGAATCATAAGCAATGCCTTCATTATTTTACTTCATATACCTCCCAGCATTCCCTCATCTCTGCTAGGCAATTAACTGGAGCTCTATTTTTCACAGCACATAATACTAGTCTACAGATATGGAATGTTCACTTGAACAAATCAAATTCCAGCTCGAACAGGATGGTTCCATTTAAATCAAAGGATGATGGTAGAAAACATGTGATGACAATTTAGAAGACGAAAGTTAAAAAGATAAAAGTTAAACTTAAATTGCAAAGACTACCGTACTTTCCCTCAACTAGACAAAATTAATTTTGGATTTTGGTATATTTGATTGATTGATAGACTGTTTGATTGACTGACTGACTGATTGATTGATTGATTGATTGATTGATTGATTGATTGATTGATTGATTGACAGCAATGAGGACGAGTAACACGAGAATGGTAAATATGGCATGACAATGAAGGTGATGATAGTGGTTGTGATAATGATAATTACAGGAATGAAACAGACAATATCAATTAATGACAGCAACAACGACGATGACAACTCAAAATATGACAACGATAATGGTAATGAGTGCTGATATTGATGATCAGGAAGGTTATCATACAGATGCGTATCTAGGGCTTTTGGCGCTGAAAGCAAGAAATGCATCCTTTTTACAACTCGGTATGTTCTGAGCTTGTATGTATGTATGTTATAATTTATACATACTTTGCCAAATTTAGGCACTAACCTAGAGGCCCTATATAATTTTTGTCCAGGCTTATTTTGGTGCCCCTCTCAATTCAGGCAGTATGGACGCATGCTCTGTTATGTACCCCTGTAGTTAACCTCAGTTGTCATGTATTATTGATGTCTCCACTTAAAAAAAAAAATCCATAGGAAAAACAAATATCGTAATTAATGTAATAATAAACAGATGATTATGGTCTGATCGTTGTTATTGCAAATAACCTACCTAATATTCATATAGCAATTTATAATAATTTTCCTTGGCTAAAATACACTATAACATACATAATAATAATTATTATTTTATCAGTTATCTTATAGCACAGATCTTCATTTTCATATTAGCCCATAATGCCACTATAGCTCACCAACATCCTAGACAACTAGTCGGACATGTTTCTCATTAACTCTGATAACAGACCTTTCCCTGAACCGATGTGTACCTAATATGCATCACATATTTTCTCATATTATTTCATATTTTCTATATTTTAATTAGCAGAGAAAAAAAAAACCACACGATTGTTGCACTCATAAATAAAT